GAGAGCGGAGAGCGGAGAGCGGAGAGCGGAGAGCGGAGAGCGGAGAGCGGAGAGCGGAGAGCGGAGAGCGGAGAGCGGAGAGCGGAGAGCGGAAAGCGGAGAGCGGAGAGCGGAGAGCGGAGAGCGGAGGAGGAGGAGGAGTGGAGTGGAGTGGAGTGGAGTGGAACCCATCGCGAGTGCGATCCTGACTAAGCCCCGACCTCATAGCACACCCTCGAACGCCAGACCTGCGCCAGCCTGCCTCAGGACCTTGGGATATGAAGCCCACGCTGTCCTGTGAGAACTCCCTTGCCATGTGCCGAAAGTGGCCTGCCGCAACACTGCGCATGACAGTACAGAAGAAAATCAAATACCGTTCAAAGCAGCAGAATACACGTTCACAAACCCTTCATCTCACATTTGCTTGCACTCCTGCTGCTCCCTACTTCGGGTGGCGTCAGCCCAATCTATCACAGCCGAGCCGCTGGGCAGGAAAGAAGCGGCCTGTCCTCCCCGTAGAGTCTCAGCATCTCGTACAAGTCGCGCTCTAGTAACACTGTTCTCCCAATCGTTGAGCTCAGAACTCTCTCCCCCCGTGTCGAACGCCCTGGTCGCAGCACTGTTGCTGATCACGTCGGGCTGCAACTTCGCCCCCGACTTCTCGCACACACTGTGAACAGGATGGTGACTGGGGGTGGAGGCCGACGACCATTTCGCTTCCAACCACGCCTTGGCGATGCACGCTCGGGCGGCCCACCACACTGCTGAATTCGATGATCCACCAGGTCGCAGGGCAGCAGCGTCGGCCACGGCAGCGGACGGCGAGACGACGTCGGCGTCGGACTCGTTCTCCTCGAGCTCGGCGTCCAGCCGAATGGGAAACGTTCCCAAGCCCCCAGGGCGAGTGCGCCCCCTGGGGTCGACGCGGGCAGGAGACGGGGGAATGGCATTCGCCCCCGTCCCCCCCCAGCCCCCCATGTAAGGGGCCTCATGGGGTGGGCACTGGCCTGCAGCAGTCTGCGCGTCCAGCGACGCTCCCGCGGCCCCTGCAGCAGGGCAGTGATCCCCCGTAGGGGCCCTCACGTCGGCGCCCGTCGCCTCTGCAGCAGCAGCGCCCGCGGCGCCCTCGGCAG